ACCCCCAAACCCCCCCATGGATACGCCACTGTTGTACACTCGTCCTCCGACATACCACCGATGTGTAGTACTACATCCCATCACACGACTAAATAAAAATTGTTTTTCAAAAAACCAAAATCAAAAATTATTATTTATTTGTTTATTGTTAATTATATTAATTATACTTTTTTTTGTCTATAGACTGAATGTCACTTTGAAATTGTTCATCATATATTTTCTTCGGTGGATTAAATCCATGTACAATAAGAATTGCACAAAGAAAAACCAAAAACTATTTCGTGAATCCAAAATTTCGGGAACTTGAAAATCTGACATTTCAATTCTGAACATACGAAATGCAATAGACGATTTTATCTAAATTCGAAACTTCGATGGGTTTTTAACTTCATTATTTATTCATTACATTCATTACTATTTCATGTATTATATGGGCCGTCCACGGTGGTACTGCAATACCGCCGTAGAGCATGAGCAAGCCCCAAAACCATCACCAAATTTGAAAAAATTAAGTAATGTTATAAATAATATTATAATAATGTAAAAAATGTATTATAATATCATATTATTTTTTTCAAATTGATATGCATACTCAGTAATTTAAATAATATTAAACACATATTAATATTAAGGTATTGAGAAGTCCACCACGGTTTGGTAACGTTGTAAGCTCACGTTGTAACAATAAATTCAATTTATGAAACGTGTATTAACCGTGTATTACTCGTTTATAACGCGAGAGATCAGAATATAAGTAACAGGAACGTATGATGTGGTAGCTGTTGAATGAGAAGCTATTGCCGCCGCACGGTGCCGCTTACAACGCACCGCCGCCGACGTCAAATCGAAGAAAAGCGGCGTTCGTTCATGCGACCCTGGTACAACGGAGTTCGTTTCGACTTTGTTTCGACAAATTTTAACCGTAATGATAAATTGATATTATGATGATTGCATAATATAGTCACCGAACACGTCCAGTACATAATTTTGCGATATTGATTCCTACGTAGTTTTTTTAATTTTACATTCATTTTCAAACCATTTACATACTATATTGAATTGTTTATTTTATAAAAATTTAACTTTTGAAATTAATTTTTGGATTAGATAATATAATTAAGTGAAATATAATTAAATCCAGTTAAATAGATATTAAATTGTATCGAAAATTAAAAAATATACTAAATAAAAAAGGTTAGGTTAGGCTTTTTTATAGCCTTGTATTTATTATGTAAATAAAAT